TAAACACTGCGTCGTCAGTGTTGGTATTGTATCAGACATTTGCACTTAACATTATATGAAAATCAAGCTCAAGTTGAGTTAACAAGGTTTTTGACCAGCGAATGACGGAGATGTTTTGTCTGTCAATAGAAAGGCCGCATCTGAGGCAAGTGCATCGCATTATACGCTTTCATCAACTTTAACAGGTTATATAACGTTTATTGTAGCTATTTGGGTGCTTAGTTTTTCTTGCTGTTTAATACACTTGGCCAAAATCTCATGATATAAATGATGAAGCGCGATATGCACAGGATATTTAAAACGTAGCTGAGTCATTTATATCATGAGATTTTGGCCAAGTGTATTAAACAGCAAGAAAAACTAAGCACCCAAATAGCTACAATAAACGTTATATAACCTGTTAAAGTTGATGAAAGCGTATAATGCGATGCACTTGCCTCAGATGCGGCCTTTCTATTGACAGACAAAACATCTCCGTCATTCGCTGGTCAAAAACCTTGTTAACTCAACTTGAGCTTGATTTTCATATAATGTTAAGTGCAAATGTCTGATACAATACCAACACTGACGACGCAGTGTTTAATTATTGATCCCCCCCGTTTCTTTTTTTATGATTTTGGACTATAGTTTTTTTTTATGTGTATTTAATACTTTTTTTTTTTTAAATTACAAAATAAAAAAAGAGAGAGAGAGCCAAGCACCTTCTTTCAAATACATTAAAAAATGTTCACCATTTTGACTTAAAAAAATAACTTAATTGTGATGCTGTAACTGAAATACAAGTGTGTGATTTCTTTACAGGCTGACCGGAAGAAACCTTGAAGTTCATACTATATAAACAAAAGATAAAACATATGTAGAGCATGGGGTTAAACCACAGCTGTGCTATTGCAGAAACCTGATCCTGATATGTGGTAATAAATAGAAACACTCACAGCCAGCTGCCATATCCATAGTTGATGGTCCCTTTGAATACAGCAGACACGTTTGAAGTAGAGATCCCTATTCCTTCATTCTCTTTCAGCTCAAACTCACTCTTTCCAATGGAAAGGTTATGGATCTCTAAGCTGTGGTTGATGTGGGAAGAAGAGTGTCATAAGATACAAGATGTAACACAGATGTGGACCCCATAACATGTAAACAAATTCAGGAGTCCCCTATGGAATCCATATTTCACCGTCCCAATGCCTATATATTGATTGCTGTCCCTCTACGCTGGGATATCTGGCATGCTGAAAAGCGGCCTGTATCAGTTCAGTAGTTTTCTCATTCACTGAGGAGTCAAGTAAGGGAAATATTTATTTACTATTCCAGGGTTTCCCAAGTTCAGGGAACTGCAGGTTGATGAGAAGGAAATAATTAATTAAACCATAAAAAAAAAAAAATTAATTAAAATGACGTTTGGGAATCCCAGCTCAAGTCTTTACTTGTAGAACTTTTTTTTTATTTTAGGTTGCTTTTTATTAGTCTCCATTCCATTTGATTATTGTTTCAGCTTGTGTGCAGTTATTTTTATGCACTTGAATATTTTTGCTACTTCCTTACTAATGGCTTAATGTCATTTGCGATCTTTTTATATTTTACAATCTTTATGTATTACATAAATATGCTATGCTTTATATGAGCTCATAAAAACGGACTAAATTTTAACTATTTTCACAAGACTAAAAATTATACCATAATTTATTCTGCATGTGAGAAGAGGGTATGGAAACAAAGTCAGGGGACAGGGGTTTTATCAGGTTAGTTTTGTCTGGTCTTTTAGCCTCTTGAAATTGTTTAAAATTAATTCTAACATCACATTAAAATAAAATCCTCATCTTTTGCCATCAAGTTTTTCTGTGAGGCCTAATGCAAACAGTTTTTTTGTTTTTTTCTCAATTCCTTAATGTCATTTTGAGTTTAAAGTAGACTAATGGACTTCTGCCCTAGCTCAAACTTAGCATGTTCATGAGAAAAGTAGCAATGTACGATTTGTAAAGTCCATAAACAGTGGTGAAACCTGAAAGCTCTTGTTTCTATTCATTTTATTAGCACAGAAAAAAGTGACCATTTTTTTTATTTAGTCATTTAGCAGACGCTTTTATCCAAAGCGACTTACAAATGAGGACAATAAAAGCAGTCAAAACTAACAAAAGAGCAACAATATATAAGGGCAAATGACAAGTCTCGGTTAACCTAACGCAGTACACGTAGCAAGGTGTATATATATATATA